TCGCTGTTTCTTGAGATAATCTTTTTCAGTCGAGTGCATAAGCAGAACATTTCTGGTCTGTAATATTCCTTGTATTCGTATCAGCTGTTCAAATTTATGCTTTAACATACCGGTTATTGCATTGCAGAAGGAAATATTCTTCTCCAAATGTGAATCTGCATTTGCCTTACGCCTTAATGTTCGCCTATGCTATGTTCTGGTTCCCACTCGACTTATGGCTTATGCTAAACAAATTTGCATAACAAGACCAATCGCGTTTTCTTAACCTCCTAACCTGCTGAGGTCACTCGTGTTACAGTTAATGCCGCTTTGCGCAATTCTTCTTCAACCATCCTTCTTTCTAATTAATTGAAATAACTATGCCGTACATCAGCATTGAAATAACACCGGGAAGTACAGGTCAAGCACGAAGGAATAAAAGTCTTCTTACCATTTTGAAGGCTGTTGCGCCTTCCACTGCACGTCTAATGCAATTGCTGATAGAAAGAGTGGGGACCACTATCCGTATTAATTTCAAAACAAACGATCAAGTTTCTTCCCTCTGGAACAGTTTTGATTTTCGCGTTATAGCGAACAGAAAATAATGTATGAAAATAATACCACTTTAGCTCTACACCGTTTCGTAACTACACAACGGCGTCATCGTCGTGTAACATAATATCCACTGCTCGACATACTATACTCTGATAATGACGTTCATACGAGCAGCACGAAATGCGCCTGAATGAACCATGAACAGAAAAGAACTGCTTTTTATTCTCATAGGCAACGAATCGAAGACTATTTTCCCTCATGTAGCCAGTCTTGCAGAAAAATAAAACACAATGACGATTATAACAGCACATAAAGCGAAGATAACGGTTTTCCCATTTGAGTGGTAAAAATCTAAAATATCTAGGGAAAGCTATTTCTTCAAACAAATATATTTATGTCGCTATTTCTCTGAATGAAGATGATGATTGTTACTGATATTGGCTGAAAAAAAATAAGCAATGTGCTAAGTACAAGTGCAACGCGTACATCAAGGCAATATTCAACCTGATGGATTATGCAAACATGCACAATGTCAGTCTTGCATGTTGTAAATCGACTAGCCCCTGGTTTGCATTTCTGTTACAAAAATATTGATAATAAAAACTACGTTTAATTAAACCCGAGCAGTAGCAAAAGTTTAAACACTATAATAAATATGGTTCTTTTATTAGCCACGCGAGTTTCGTGGAGGATGCTGGGCGCACCAATTTTGATAAGAGTTCTGTGTACAGTGTATTTTATCTATTCGTTTTATTCATGTTATTTGTGCATCGGTCAATATTAAGCTTCTGTGAAGATTTTGTGCAGTAACAGACTATCAACTCCACCGTTGCCTGCTTGTCAGGATGAGAAACGAGAGGAACTGGGGACAGTGGCGGCGATGTCTCACGTGAAACTTACATACCTGACTTTCATTGCAGTGTTGTCACTGTGTAGCGGTAGCACTATGCCGACTCGGTGGTCTCCCAGGTCACCGATGGCTGCGCAGGATGTTGGGAAACAGATATACTGCGAAACGTGGACGACCAGAACATGCTTTCCCCTTCTGGTGGCGTAGCAGTAAAGCGACAGCTGCCAAAGATGTATAAAAAGAAAATAGAAAATTTAATTCAGCAACTGAGCGGCTACCTCTTTTGAACGGAGGAGGCAGATAATGCAACGGCACTATAGTACGTCAGACAA